TGTCCCCGCATGAGGAGCTGGAGCTGACAGAGGGAGCTCATCCACTCTCTCACCGGATTCGAACCTGCAACCTGTCAGTCTTCAGTCCTGTCGGCACAGGGGTTTAACCCACTCTGCCACTGCGGGCTCCTGATTAAACTGATCTTCATAGGACTTGGCTTCTAAACCTTTTGCCATTTTGACCACCCTTCTCCAAATATGTTCCAGTTTATCAATATTCTTCTTGAAATGTGGTGTCCAGAACTAGACAGAATATGCCTGGAAACACTGGTTTGTATGGAGCAGTTTTGTTACTGCTCAAAATATAGAATCCTGCTGCAAATTTTGGGAGGGGAGGGGGGAGATTTATGAACGAATCAGTCTGACCTAATCAGGAAACTTCGATGGTGTGAATTCTTTTGCCAAACCTACATTTGCTTCCTGATTTGATTTTTCATGTCAGGTTTCCTAGGCAAGCAATTATAAACCTATTCAAATGGGAAAAAAGAATCAATTGCTTGCATCTCCATTGGGAAAATGTTGAAACCATGGAATATTGTCAAAGGTTTTCATTACTGGAATCACTGAATTGCTATGAGTTTTCCAGGCTGTATGGCTATGTTCCAGAAGCATTATCTCCTGACGTTCTGCCCGCATCTAGGACCTCACAGCCTCTGAGGATGCCTGCCATAGATGTGGGTGAAACATCAGAAGAGAATGCATCTGCAACATGGCCGTACAGCCCGGAAAACTCACAGCAACCCATGGAAGATTACTTCAGACTGCTGCATAGTTCTTTCCCAGGAAGATGTGGCTTTCCCTTTGGAAATGACTTTTTTGATTTTCTAGACATATCATTCTTGTAGCCTAATAATGTATATAGAGTGCTGGAGGATAAAGTATGTTTTACACTTTATCTGGCTACAAGAATTATCTATCCGGGTAATCAAAAAGGTGTATATCTGGGGCAGAGCATTTTCTGAGTTGCTTACAGCACAGTTTTACTTGGCTGTGAACGTGAGGTGCTTTGTTTTTCCAGAATATCTGTTAATGTGCAGTTGATAGAATCATGGAATCATAGAGTTGGAAGAGACCTCGTGGGCCATCCAGTCCAACCCCATTCTGCCAAGAAGCAGGAAAATCGCATTCAAAGCACCCCCGACAGATGGCCATCCAGCCTCTGTTTAAAAGCCTCCAAAGAAGGAGCCTCCACCACACTCAGGGGCAGAGAGTTCCACTGCTGAATGGCTCTCAGAGTCAGGAAGTTCTTCCTAATGTTCAGGTGGAATTTCCTTTCTTTCCTGTAGTTTAAGCCATTGTTCCGCGCATGAGGATATCATGCAAACAGCCTTCATTCTGAGTATTTCATTAAAAGACTCCAAGCGTCCCTTCCAAAGCAGTTTTGTATTTCTTCTCTTTTTAGCACTTTTCAGTCATTTGCATTCTGTAGTGATGATCAGAAATGTTGGTGAAGCCAAATGGTCATTGTAAAGAAATTCTGTTGTGATGATCAGCAATGTGTGTGAAATTGATTTTTACAGTGGGATACCTGCATTGCAATTTAATTTCCCCCCCTTCCTAGCTTCTCTTTGCCACTGCTTTTAAAGTTTCTTCCGGGACCTTATTCTACCAAAAATCAAAACAAAATCTCACACCTTCCTCTCCTCTGTGAGATGTGAATCTTTAAGATGGGCAAACAAAATAAACTCCCCAGATATACATGTCTTTAGATTTCCTTGTGTTGGGAAATAGCTGGGGAGGCTCCCAAGGTACTGCTCTGCCTTCCCTATCTGCAAGCCCAGGGCAGGGCCAGCCACACAGGCCTGCTCCCATACAGAAGTGGGCAAGGAGAGAGGGAAGGACCAATGCTCAAGGGAAGAGTCAGTGGTTTCTCTGAAGTTGATGCCTCTCCCAATTTCTTGGCATCTTTGCAAAGGTGCCAGACAGCCTGGAAAGAGAACATTTGAAATGGCTGCTGGAGGGGGCAAGAACAGGTTAAACATACAATGTCTAGAGCAGCAACTCTCTTCTATACTCCTCCACTCTCCACATAGTCATAGAGTCCTAGGGATGTCCCTGCCTTGAATACGACTTAGATTAGGAAGGGGAGAGGAAAGGGAACAGTAAAACAGGCGATGATGTCTGGCAACCATATTTTAAGATGCCAAAGTTCTGGGAAATTTGAAAGCGTGCACCTTTTTTTGACCAGGGACCACTTTGACCAGGGATCACTCTCCAGCATTAGTACCAAAAGGGTTAGGAATCAGATTTTTTTTTGTCAACTTTAGATTCAAATTGGTTATTTGGGGTGCTGATTCAGACAATTGCACTGGATAGACCACATCAGTTCTAGTTTCTGAAGAAGAACATATGCCATCCAGTAGCCGCATTCTGCTCACCCACAGAAAACCATTTCTAATTATCCTCAGCACTATAAGAGGGTTTAGCAAAACTAGTCGCTCTTGTTGCAACAGTGTAGTAATGGTCAAGTTGCAGACCTTATTTTAGTTCTTGTGGACCACTGGTGGTCCATGGACCAGAGGTTGGGAACCACTGTTCTAGTGGGATGGATGCATAGCCCTGGAGAGCTCAACAGTTTGTAGGCCAGGTATGGACAAATTTTGGCCCTTTGGGTGTTTTGGACTTCAACTCCCACAATTCCTAACAGCCTCAGGCCCCTTCTTTCCTTTCCTTTCCACTTAAGCATCTGAGGGGGAAAAGGAAAGGACCTGAGTTTGTTAGGAATCGTGGGAGTTGGAGTCAAAAGCACCTGGAGGGAAGGCTGAAGTTTGCTCAGGCCTGTTGCAGGTACTTGTGAGAATTTAGTAGCTCCCATTTAGTGGGTATTACCTGCCCGTGAATTCTGATTTATTTTGTGATAGGATTGACATGTTTTAAGGAAAATACAACAAAATCTAAGATCCACAAAAGAGCAATAATTTTTGTTGTGGATTTGGGATTTTGTTCTCAAAGTCAACATGTCTATTTTTCAATAAGTTTCCTTAAAAGGAATGATCTCTGAAAAGGAAGGATCTTACTGCAAAGAAGACAGGGCAGGCTATGCTTGGGTTTGAGATGGGAAAGCCATGCGTTTTGTTCTGCCCCTTGACTTCCACATCATTTAATGAAAAGGGGAAGATGACCCACTGATTCCCCTCCCTCTTTAAAGCTAACAGTTCCGCCCAGTTCAGCTGGGAAGGGGAAGCAATGGCATGGGAGGAGGCACGCTTCAAAGTCCCAGCACAGAAGCAGCCTTCCCTGACAGACAGATCTCCAAAGCAAGCCAGGGCATTCAATAGAACTTACTTTTAATTAGCTAATTATAATGATGTTAGCTAGGATCCCCTTGTGCCGACAGGACTGCTGACAGATAGGTCAGCAGTTCAAATCTGGGGAGAGCGGATGGAGCTCCCTCTGACAGCCCCAGCTCCCCATGCAGGAACATGAGAGAAGCCTCCCACAAGGATGGGAAAACATCAAAACATCTGTGGGGAGTCCCATCCACTTCCCACATGGTAGGTTCTGAGGAATATCTACCCAAAGTTGGCCTGAGAACACCTTTGAGGATATCATCTCTCTGACACAATTGCAGCTATTGGAGTTGCACTTGAACTGCAATGGCTCCTTCTCCTGGGCTCTGGGGGCTCGTGCTCGGGGCAGGACCTGTTCCCCCAGGGCAGAAAATGGTTTTAAAACTCAATTTTCTTGGAGCCTAGTGACAAAAACTCTCTACATAACAAAAATACCACTTGTATAACATAAACAATGATATAATTCAACAACAGTATATAAACATGCTGCACTGTTAACCTCACAGCGACAACAAACAATATGGTGCAAACTTTTAGTACAGTCGTATCTTCTTATAAGTAGCTTGTGGATCAGCCGACCACGACCGGTTTCGGCTTACCTCAGGCCTTCCTCTGGTGGAAAAATTATACACTTGAAAGTGTTCTCCTCGGGAGATACAAATTTTTTTTGTTGGTATATGATACTCTGCTCTAAGTTGAGTTCTGGCTGCGAGTATCATATACCAACAAAAAAATTGCCACTGCTTTTAAAGTGAGGCTGTTAAAGTCTCCTCCCTAAACTACAAACCCCAGAATTCTGCAGTAGGCAGCAACCAGATTTAAAGTGGATTTATCCATTCTCTAGTGTGATGAAGCCCCCAGTGGGTTAAACCCATGTGCAGGCAGGAATGAAGACCGACAGGTCGGAGGTTTGAATCAGGGGGAGAGCGTGATGAGCTCCCTCTGTCAGTTCCAGCTCCCCATGCGGGGACATGAGAGAAGCCTCCCACAGGATGATAAAACATCAAAAACCTGAGTGTCCCCTGGGCAATGTCCTTCCAGACAGCCAATTCCCTCACACAAGAAGTGACGTGAAATTTCTCAAGTCATTCCTGATGTGCGGAAAAAGAAAGCTGCAATGGCTCCTTTTCGTGGGCTCTGCTCGGGGGTAGGACCTGCTCCCCCAGGGCAGAAAATGCTTGAAAAACTTAATGTTCTTGGAGCATGGGTTTTGTTTTTTTTTTTGTCAGAAGCCACTTGAGAAACTGCTAGTCGCTTCTGGTGTGAGAGAATTGGCCGTCTGCAAGGACGTTGCCCAGGGGGCACTYGGATGTTTTGAAGTTTTCCCATCCTTGTGGGAGGCTTCTCTCATGTCCCCACATGGGGAGCTGAAGCTGAAAGAGGGAGCTCACCCGCGCTCTCCCCGGATTCGAACCTACGACCTCTCAGGTCTTCAGTCCTGCCAGGACAAATGTTTAACCCACTGTGCCACCGGGTGCTCCCTGGTGACACAACCCCCCCCCCCCAAGCAGGAGCAGGGCAGTTTTGTGGGGTTCAAAGGAAGAAGCCATGAGCCTGGGGCCCGATAATAGTTTTTCTGGGAGTCTCAAACACTTGAGTTRTAATGTCCCTCCCTTCCCAGAGCCCTTGCCTGCCTTTGATAGTGAAGCCCCTGCACCCGGTCTATCGAGAGAGAGAGAGAGAGAGAGAGAGAGAGAGAGGAGAGCCGTTTCAAGCGCGTTTATTTCTTGTCTGTGAGGGGCGTCGGGGGGCAGGCCTTCTTTGCAGGGGTCCCCGAGGGCTTGGCTTCCTCCAGGGGGGCGCCTGGGCTCTTCTCCTCCGGCGGCGGGTCTTCAAGGGGCGGGGCTGCAGTCGGCGGGGTCCAGGGAGACGGTGACGTCGGCCTGGCACTGGACCACGCTGGGCAGGCCGGGCAGCAGCTGGCAGCTCCGCAGCTCCGGGGAGACCTCTTTCACGCACACCGCCTGCAGCCAGCCAGCCAGGGAGAGAGAGAGAGAGAGAGAGGCAGCCAGAGGCGGCGGACGTCAAGCTCCCACGCCCACCTTCCCCAGCCCCCGAGTGGCAGCCCATCCGTCGCTTCAGAAGCTGAAGCGGGCATGGGCAAACTTTGAGCCTCCCTCCAAGTGTTGGGATCTCGTTGTTGTAGGTTTTTCGGGCTGTATGGCCATGTTCCAGAAGCATTCCCTCCTGACGTTTCACCTGCATCTATGGCAGGCATCCCCAGAGGTTGGGAGGTCTGTTGGGAACTAGGAAAATGGGGTTTATATATCTGGAAAGTCCAGGGTGGGAGAAAGAACTCTTGTCTGCTTGAGAAAAGTAGGAATGTTACAAATGACCACCTTCATTAGCATTGAATGGCCTTCTAGCTTCAAAGCCTAGCCTGGAGGGAACCTTTGTTTGGAGGTGTTAGCTGGCCCTGATTGATCCTTGTCTGGAATTCCCATTTATGAGTGTTGCTGCAAACTACTCCAACCAGAGAAGTCAGCCATAGCAGAGCACCTGATGAACCAACCTGGACACAGAATATTTTTTGAGAACACAGAAATGCTGGACCACTCTCACAACCACCATGTCAAACTACACAGAGACATTTGATGGCCCGACAGTTTTTTGGTGTGGATGGTTACTGCCTGGGGGAATCCTTTGTTGAGAGGTGATTAGGTAAAGGTTTTCCCCCTGACATTAAGTCCAGTTGTGTCCGACTCTGGGGGTTACTGCTCATCTCCATTTCTAAGCCAAAGAGCCAGCGTTGTCCGTAGACACCTCAAAGGTCATGTGGCCAGCATGGAGTGCCATTACCTTCCCACCAGAGCGGTACCTATTGATCTACTCACATTTGCATGTGAGTAGATCAATAGGTTGGTAGAAGCTGGGGCTAACAGAAGGAGCTCACCCCAATCCGCGGATTCGAACTGGCGACCTTTAAGTTCAGCTGTTCAGTGGTTTAACCCACTGCGCCACCGGGTGATTAGTTTCTTGTCTGGAGTTCCCTTATTTCTAACAGACATCACAACCTCTGAGGATGGTTGCCATAGATGCAGGCGAAACGTCAGGAGAGAATGCTTCTAGAACATGGCCATACAGCCCGGAAAACCTACAACAAACCCAGTGATTCCGGCCATGAAAGCCTTCGATAATACGTTTTGGACTTCGACTCCCATCATTCCTAACAGCCTCAGGCCCCTTCCTTTCCCCCCTCAGCCGCTTAAGCGGCTGAGGGGGGAAAGGAAAGGGCCTGAGGCTGTTAGGAATGATGGGAGTCGAAGTCCAAAACAGTTGGAGGGAGGGTCAAAGTTTGCCCAGGCCTAGTGTAGACGCCCCCGCCGATCCCCGAGTCTTACCATATTCCTCAGTCCTCCGGGACTCAGGCGCGGCTCAGGCGCCCAGAAAGAGGAGGCTGCTGCTGCGGCGGGAGGGAGTCCGGGGACGGCGCCGTTTTCGGTGCTGCTGCTGCTGCTGCTTCCTCCGCCGCCTGCCTGCTGCTGCTGCTCGTTGTCGTCGGCTCGACGGCTGTAGGGCGAGCGTCGGAGCCCCGAGAGCAGCCCCGAAGCCCGGCCGACCGAGTAGTAGCTGGGTCCGGCGGCCTGCTTGTACCACGCCTCGGCGGCGGCCGGAGGACCGGGCAGGACGGCCAGCGCCAGGAGGCAAAGCAGCAGCAGCGCCGCCCGTGGGGTCCCCGTCCGGGTCCGCGCCGCCCTCATGCTGCAGCCGGGACTCGGGATCGGAAGGAGGCTGAAGAGGGAGAGGGATGAGGCTGGGCAGCTCCCGCGCGGAACCCCTTATATCCACCGGGCGGGCGGGCGGGCGGGCGGGGGGCGGGGGCGGAGGGGACGGCGTCGATGCTCCTGCTGTTCCTGCTGCTGCTTCTGCTGTTCCTGCCCGGAGGCATCAAGGAGAGGAGGAGAGAGACCTAGTTCTTTCCGACACAAGAACTTTGCTCATCCTTGCGTTGTCAAAGGCTTTCATGGCCAGAATCACTGGGTTGCTCTGAGTTTTCCGGGCTGTATAGCCATGTTCCAGAAGCATTCTCTCCTGATGTTTCGTCCACATCAATGACAGGCATTCTCAGAGGTTGATGGGGGTCTGTTGGAAACTAGGAAAATGGGGTTTATATATCTGTGGAAGGTCCAGGGTGGGAGAAATAACTCTTGTCTGCTTGAGGCAAGTGTGAATGTTGCAATTGGGCACCTTGGTTAGCATTGAGTAGCCTTGTAGCTTCAAAGCCTGGCCCAAGCAAATAAGATTTATATATCTGTGGAAGGTCCAGGGTGGGAGAAAGAACTCTTGTCTGTTTGAGGCAAGTGTGGATGTTGCAAACGACCACCTTAGAATCATAGAATACCTTGATTAGCATTTAATGGTCTTGAAGCTTCAAAGCCTGACCTAAGCAAATAAAGCTTATATATCTGTGGAAGGTCCAGGATGGGATAAATAACTCTTGCATGCTTGAGGTAAGAGTTAATGTTGCAATTGGCCACGTTGATTAGCACTAAATAGTCTTGCAGCTTCAAAGCCTGGCCTAAGCCAATAAGGTTTATATATCTGTGGAAGGTCCAGGGTGGGAGGAATAACCCTTGTCTGTTTGAGGCATGTGTGAATGTTGTAAATGACCACATTGATTAGCATTTAATGGCCTTGTAGCTTCAAAGTCTGGCCTGGAGGGATCCTTTGTTTGGAGGTGTTAGCTGGCCCTGATTGATTCTTGTCTGGAATTCCTGTTTTTGAGTGTCGCTGCAGACTAATTCAACCAGAGAAGTCAGCCATAGCAGAGCACCTGATGAACTAACCTGGACACAGAATATTATTTGAGGAAACAGACATGCTGGACCACTCTAACAACCACTATGTCAGATTGCACAGAGAAGCCACTGAAATCCACAAGCATGTAGACAATTTCAACAGAAAGGAGGAAACCATGAAAATGAACAAAATCTGGCTACCAGTATTAAAAAAAAACCTCTAAAATCAGGACAGTAAATAAAGAGCAACAGTCTAAAAGCAGAGGAATTCCAGACAAGAATAAATTAGGGTCAGCTAACATGTCCAAGATGGATGGATGATATCCTTGAAGTGACTGGCTTGATTCTGAAGGAGTTGGGGGAGGTAACTGCTGACAGGGAGCTCTGGCGTGGGCTGGTCCATGAGGTCACAAAGAGTCGGAAATGACTAAACGAATGAACAACAACACCTCCCAACAAAGGATTCCCTCACGCAGGAAGCAGCCAGGCTTTGAAGCTGCAAGTCCATTAAATGCTAATTAAGGTGGTAAATTGCAACATTCCCTCTTACCTCAAGCAGACAAGAGTTCTTTCTTCCACCCTGGGCATTCCACAAATATATAAACCTCACTTGCCTTGTTTCCAACTGACCTCACAACCTCTGAGGATGGCTGCCATAGCTGTGGGTGAAATGTCAGGAGAGAATGCTTCTAGAATATGGCCATACAGCCCGGAAAAATCACACAGCAAACCAATTATTATTATTATTATTATTATTATTATTATTATTATTATTATCTCATCCATACACACAATAGATTCAATAATAATGATTATTCAGTGTGCCTTACTCAGAATATTATGTGTGTATACCCACCTTGAAGTCCCCAGTTTACCTAGTTTAGGGCAACTCCAGGAATTACCTCCAAGTGCTAACCAGGTCTGACCCTTCTCTGATTCCAAAATCAGATAGGAACTGGTGCCTTCAAGGTATTTACCTAAACTTTGAACCATCAGGATCCTATACACATGCAGAAGCTGGAAACTGTTGTAAAATCTCTCCACTCTCTCATCACATGTGCTTTAGTGACCATGAGCGCAGGCTTTATTCTTGAGGAATCACCAGGAAAAAGAGCTGGGGTGCAGAGAACACTTCATGCTTCCAGAAATCTGCCCATTTCCAGGATTCTGGCATTCTCTTCTCTATTTTGACTTCTTCCCTCAGCTTATTTCCAGCAATTTCCCCATGTGATCTAAGGAACAGTTCCTTGCTGAAGCAGAATGGCAAAACAGTGGTTCCTGCTCAAGTTTAAGCTATTTCGTTTCTGTGAAGGGTTTGTGTGTTTGGCTCCAGACCAGGTTTTGAATGCTCTCATAACCACAAAAGCCCACTAGGTGTCCTTCGACAAGTCATACTCTCACAGGTTTAGAGGAAGGCAATGATAAACTTCCTCTGAGGAAACACTATCAAGAAAACCCAGGATAGGGTTCTCATAATTCAATAACAATTTAAAGGCACCCACCAGCAAACAATGAAGAATGTCTATACACCTGTGGCCAAATGCACAGTACTTATCAAAGAGCACCTCGAGTTTCTTGCTGTCCCCTTGTGGTGTGTGTTTGTACAGGCAGGCAGGCATCTGTGCGTGGGAGATGTCTGACTGAAATGTAATATAAGCCAGTCCTCAAAGATATGGGGTGATGCAAAGCTTTCTAATGAGTGAACACTTTTTAGTATTATCTATATGTACATATATAGTGCTAGGATTGATGTATTAACATTAAATAAACCTCACTCCGTACAATTTTTGGAACAAAATACAGTTGACACTCTTTTACATTGAAAGTGCTTTTGAAGTGTGGACTAAAGTTGCTATTTGCACAAAACAGGGAACCTTTTTCGAGGGAGCAGGTAACTGCAGAAGTGGCAGATTGAGGAAGGTCACTGCAGACTAACTCAACCTGAGAAGTCAGCCATAGAAGAGCGCCTGATGAACCAATATGTGGACACAGCATATTATTTGAGGAAACAGAAATGCTGGACCACTCTAACCACCACCATGTCAGACTACACAGAGAAGCCGCTGAAATTCACAAGCAGGTGGACAATTTCAACAGAAAGGAGGAAACCATGAAAATGAACAAAATCTGGCCACCAATATTTTAAAAAATCTCTTAACATCAGGACAGAAAATAAAGAGCAGCACTCAGAAAATGGGAATTCCAGACAGGAAACAATCGGCCAGCTAACACCTCCCAACAAAGGATTCCCCCAGGCAGGAAGCAGCCAGGCTTTGAAGCTGCAAGACCATTAAGTGATAATTGAGGTGGTCAACTGCAACATTCACACATTTGCCTCAAACAGACAAGAGTTCTTTCTCCCACACTAGGCATTATGCCACAGATATATTAACCCACTTACCTAGTTTCCAACAGACCTCACAACCTCTGAGGATGCCTGCTATAGATGTGGGCGAAATGTCAGGAGAGAATGGTTCTGGAACATGGCCATACAGCCCGGAAAAGTCACAGCAATCAAGGTCAATAAAGTTGATTGACAACACGTGATGGGTTTGCATTTAGGGTTAAAGCTGAATTTGCCAGATTTTAATGCTCATGGTACCAGATATATAGAAATTATCAAATTCAGGTTTAAGGAATGATTAAACCGAATGCTGCATGTACTTTCAGACACACCAATTGGCTTAGAATCATAGAATTATAGAATCATAGAGTTGGAGGAGACATCATGGGCCATCCAGTCCAACCCCCTGCGAAGAAGCGGGAATATTGCATTCAAAACACCCCCGACAGATGGCCATCCAGCCTCTGTTTAAAAGCTTCCAAAGAAGGAGCCTCCACCACCTCTCTTTTAGATGGGAGAGAGGTGTAGTACAATTTATTGATTAGTCCATTGGCCGTAACAAAACATTTGACACATTTAATACATACACATTCAGCATACAACCCACTGAGAAGGGAGAGGGATTCTTTTAAAATATAGATTAAGTTTACCCAAAATGTTTTAGCTATTCAAGGGGTGGGACATAGGAGATTATTACTTCCTTCTGCCAGTCTTATGGTCAAGCCCAAGACATGCAAAGGACCAATCTCGGAGGCAAACAACAGTTTGTATATTTTGCTTAGAGTTGCACTGCCTTGTTTTCAAGGAAACATATGTTTTAGCCTGTATGGTGAGATACCAAATTGCAGAGAGAAGCCAGTTCCTGATGAAGCAAGGTACCTTATTTGATACTGTGGCCTCAAATGAGACACTAACACATGCCAACCCTTCCTACACCGGTCTGTAGCTTGGAATGAGAGCATGAATCACATATAGCGCTTGAGTGCTTGCTAGTACTGCCAAATCAGAAAGAGCAAATATGAAAGCTCCTTATTAGATCCAATGGTTTTCAAAATGCTAGAAACTAGTTCTCAAGTTACACAAAAATACTTTTTAGGCATAGGTTTACCAAAGTGTAGGGCACAAGTTCCTTAGTCAACAAATTTATGTAATGGTCATGGAAAGCCGAGGAGGACATGTGGCAACCTTTGTACATTGGGACACTCTTCTCTCTCTCTTAGGCGATCTCTCTTGGGCTCCTGGCGGTGGATACGTAGGGGATTGTGGAGCTCTATTCTCGACCCACATGTTGATTGTAATTGCTGTTTTAATGTTTTATTGTAATATGAATTATGATGTTTTATTGATTGTATGTGATATTATGGTTGGAAACCGGTCTGAGTCCCTCAAGAGAGGTGAGAAGGCCGGTATATAAAACTTTTAAATGAATGAATGAATGAATGAATGAATGAATGAATGTTCTTCCACAGTGAGGGCCTCGGTTTCCAGGTGGAAGGCAGTCCCAATCAGGGTTGGCTTGATGTGCCTTCCATGTTCCTCCCTTTCACCCTCCATTCACGCCTCTTCGAATTCCACAGCACTGCTGGTCATAACTGTTCTCCACTCGAGGGCCAGGGCTTCCCAATTCTTGGGTCATTATACAAACGGGCTCAGGAAGTGGCAGAAATATGTCAGATCATGTCTACTGTGCTACCATAGCATTCTGCTAGTGATCTGGGGTGTACTCTATGAGTGAAAATGGCAATATCTTCATAGAATCATAGAATCAAAGAGTTGGAAGAGACCTCATGCATTGATTGCTTCCTAAGACTCAGTATCACTCAGGAATGGGGTTGTTTCTAGTATCACTTCAATGCTCCCAGTATCATTTGGGTACTGCTGGACCCCTGTAAGGCAGGAAACAGATTGTAAACATATTTTGAATACCTACATTCTGTAACTCGTACCTTGAAACTGAGTGGGAAATTTCAACAGTCCTGTGGACATGCTAAATAATTTGCAAAATGAGTGTAATAAGAAATGCATTAAACATTCCCCCGAGTCTAAATAATTCAATGGAAAGCACCCACTATATTATATTCCTGCATCACCTCCTATCTACTTCTGATACCCACAGGCCAGCGTTTCTCAACCTGGGGGTTGGGACCACTGGGGGGGGGGGGGGGGGGGGGGGAGTGTCATGAGGAGGTGTCAGAGGGGACACCAAGACCATCAGAAAACACATTATTTTCTGTTGGTCATGGGGGTCTCTGTGTGGGAAGTTTGGTCCAATTCTATCGTTGATGGGGTTAAGAATGATCTTTGTCTGTAGGTGAACTATTAATCCCAACAACTACAACTCCCAAATGTCAAGGTCTATTTTCCCTAAACTCCACCAGTGTACACATTTGGGCATATTAAGTATCTCTGCCAAGTTTGGTCCAGATCATCTTTTGAGTCCACAGTGCTCCCTGGATGTAGGTGAACTACAACTCCAAAACTCAAGGTCAGTGCCAACCAAACCCTTCCAGTATTTTCTGTTGGTCATGGGGGTCTCTGTGTGCTAAGTTTGGTTCAATTCCATCATTGATTGAGTTCAGAATGCTCTTTGATTGTAGGTTAAGTATAAAACACAGCAACTACAACTCCCAAATGACAAAATAAATTCCCCCCCCCCATCCCACCTGTATTCAAATTTGGGTGTATTGGGTATTTGTGCCAAATTTGGTCCAGTGAATGAAAATACATCCTACATATTAGATATTGACATTACGATTAATAACAGTAGCAAAATTACAGTTATGAAGTAGCAAAGAAAATAATTTTATGGTTGTGGGTCCTCACAACATGAGGAAGTGTATTAAGGGGTCACAGTATTCAAAAGGTTGAGAACCACAGCCATAAGCAATTGTTCCATACATCACTGTTAAGTTTACTCAGTTAACATATTCCAAAGATGTTATTGCTGATGGTCCTTATGTGTTTTGTATATTATTATGTTTTGTTGGTCAGCTTCCTGATCATCAGAAGACAGGCACAAGAGAGGAACAGATACTAAGACACATAAAGGCATGTTTTCTAGCTTTAAAAGTAAGATGTCTGAACATAGGGAGAATGTTTTTTCAGTTTTAATGAAAAGTATTTCTTAGCTGTTAGAAGTCTGGAGCACATGGAAGCACAGTATACGTCAAGTCGAAGTTAATGGTTATATTAAGCTAAGAAATCTCACATTGTGCTTTTCTCTGAAAGGGCACATCTCTCAAGGCTTGGGAGTCCTTTAAGGACACTCTGAAGGTTTTCTCTCTTTTGTGCCTGCAAAATAATCCCCCACCCCTCCGCTTTGTGGCTAAACTTGCAATTTAGCTAGCGGTAGCCTTCACTCTATTATAAAGGCCACCAATTGGAATAATTTATTAACACCACCTTCTCATTTGGGTGCACAAGGGGCCATCCATTACACATTGCAGGCGGGGGTGGCATCCATACCAAAAGTACTGGGCACCCAACAGCCAGGATGAAGCATCAAAAACAGCTGGTCTGTAGGTTGTATGGCTAAATAGCTAAACTAGGAACCTTTCCCCATTACAAATAATTATAGGTATCATTTTAAAAAATAACCAAGAACATTTCATCCTTTCCCACAAGTCACATACTACCATCTCACAATAATAGTAGAGTATTGGCAATAGATTTAAAAAATTGCACTCCTGACTGAGAGCAAGTTTGAAGAATCCTATCTCATATGGAAAGAGGCAGGGAGCATTGGAGGCAATGAATCACATCATTTCTTGGACTCACCCCCGGTACAAGTGGCCTCACTAAGACTGTGGGCAAGCTTTTGGCAATCAATGTGCTTGGCATTACAGCCTTCTGGGAACAAACATATTATTGGACTGCAGGCCAACTATGCAGCAAGACGCAGGCACAAATCCTAGTTCCTCCCTGTAATCTCTAGCACCATTTTTGTATTAGATCTAACCCTATACTGCATGCACAGTGATGGGATTTTGCGAAGTCTGCATCCTAGTAATTTTGGATTGGCTCATATATAAACAGGATTGTGGTCTAAATGGTCAAGTGCAGGCTGCGTTACAGAGTCAGGAAATCAGACTGGCAGTAAGGTTGCAGCAATACATGTAACACAAGACATAGCAACAGAAAGGAAGTTTAGCTGCTCCATATCTCAAAATCTAACGAGGGAATGTGATTAACAGGAAAAATGCTTTGATTTTTTAAAAGCATTCATGCAGCTAGGACACAGCTCCTTGAAACTAGGGTTTCAGACAATCCACCAAGACACAAGCTTACAAAAGGGGCCCAGGTAATATCTAGCATACATGAAAATAACACCATGATATTTTCTTGTTCAGTATGCTGACCTTCTCACAAATATACATTTCCTACACGATATAGACACAGTTCATGACCATTTAAAACCACAATCCTGGACAGAATAAAAACAGAAAAACCTGAATGGTAGACAGGATAATAATGTTAAGAAAATGTAACTAGAAAGAGAGCATACAGTTTCTGCACTTCTTTTGATTCAGTCTGTGGGAAGGCTTAGGATATACAATACAATACAATACAATGTAATACAATACGAGCAAGTAAAGTCTTCAGGCTTGAGGAAGAGCTAGGAAGGATGAATCTCCATGAAGCTATAAGAAGAGGATGTGAAATCCGTAAGAAGGGAGAAATCTTGACCTGGTTATTCTTTGAACTTCCATTCCTGTCGGCACATTGGACAGTGCTGCTGGACTTGCTGGGAGTTAAGCCACTTGAGAATGCAGTGCATGTGGAAGCAGTGGGAACACTGACCCCACACCAGCGGGCAGTCATCTCCAGGCACCTTACCTGCAAAACACAAGAGTTACTAGGGCAAAGCTGGGAAAAGACAGTGTACATCGATCAAGAAAAATGTCAGTGGGCAGATAGTCCCAATACTCACAATCTGGGCAGCAGCCATTGAAGGCCATCCGGCAAATGCCACAATTCTCATCATTGGCAACCCAGAGCCAAGAGGCAACTCCATGCCAGCTCTTGATTTTCACTTTCATTGTGTTCAACTAAATACCACACTTAGATCAACCTAGTTTAGCACCTAAAGGGAGGAGAGAAAAAACAATGGAAATCACTGTTTCTAAAATGGGAATCACAGTTTCTAGAAATCAAAGTCTCTGCCCCTACCAAGATTGGAGCTGGAATGCAATTTAAAAAACTATTTAACCTATTTAACCTTTTCACCAGGGTAGCAATAGATGGCATTATAAATGATATTAATATTCATCTTACAATGTATACGCAGTCCAGGAGGCATGTTAGGCTTGTGCCTTCTTTAGGGTTGATGTAGGACAGCCTATAACCGGATTCCAGGTTAGGACAGGATGGAAGCAGAGATTTTTGAGAAATTAAAGCAAAGTAATATATATTAATTCTTACCTATGATTACATTGTTTTTATAGTATAACCATTACAGCAGATGAATACCAAGGTCCTAATGCCCAGCATAACTATACAAAAGCATTGCAGAAGAACAGCAGCGTTAAGACATTGCAAAGCTGGGTACATTGGAGGAAACCATCCCTCTTGGGAGAGAAATCCCTGAAGCAGATGGCATTTGCTAACATGCCCCCTCTGCCTTTGCTACTTGGAAGATTGATTTACAGCAGACCATTTAAATCAACCACAAGCCGAAAATTGCAAACAATCAAAGGTTGCATGAGTTATCTTGGTCCATAATAATAATAATAATAATAATAATAATAATAATAATAATCTGCCCTATCTCCCAAGGGATGCAGGTGATTTCTTTACTTGCAGCAGCTAAACCATCACAAGTAGAAGGAACATACTTTTGAATTAGTAGTTGCTTTTCTTGAGGCTGGATATAAAACTAACTCACGCCCACAAGTTAGAGAAAGATAAAATTATATTGTGCTGGGTATTATGGAATAGCCCCAGTATAATAATCCTACAATGAAATGAAGGAGTACTACACTAATTCATGCAAAAATTAGTGATTCTAATGAGATAAAACAACAATAGTTAATCATTTGCAAATATAATGACACTGCAGGAAGCAAGCTCCATTGAACTGGGCTCGTCCCTATGTAATCCGCCCCAAGTCCCTTTGGGGAGATGGAGGCAGGGTACGAAATAAAGTTATTATTATATTATTAATATTGAACTCAACAAAATTTGAAGTAGTCGGGAAGGAATCATCGTTAAATCTGTGTGGGTAGAATTCAAAGGCATGACTGCATTAGTCTAGAATACCAGTATGCAAAGGGATACCTTAGAGGCAAACTGAGACAACAAAACTGATAACATAACCTTTCCAAGATCAAGTCTATTTTGTCAGTAGCTTGCCACAGAAATGCAAGTTTGTGGGCATGGTGATAAAATGACCAGTTCAGTGTTAATGATGTCACTGAGAAACAAAGAGCGTAGAGAAGATGTTGCCTAAAGGCAAGATAGGTAGATAAGCATATGAATGGTGGAGGGAGTTCTTGGACTGTCCTGTACCTATTTTGCATTTCTATGGCTATTCACACATTCTGTGTATAAAGATCTCTTTACCCTAGGGATAAATAGGAATGTCTGGTGCTAACCCACCTGATAAACACGTATCTACTGAAACACAATCATTTTTTTTACTATAATTAGCTATTTGATATTGCTGTTTACAATATAAATAAACTGACACAGAACTTCTAGGACCATAAACTTTTATCACATAGATTTTATGAATTTTTTCCCAAGCACTTCAGTCCATGCATCTGAGAAATCAGACGAGTTATGAAAGTTTAAGCTACTAGCGTCATTCTTTCAGTCTCTAAGGTGCCACAAGACCCCTTTGCATACTGTTAAGACTGCAATAGTTCCTATCGCAGCCCTTGAAAGGAAGAAAAGCAAAAGATATCCATATTTTGCAGGATATTCTCAACTGAGTCTTATTTAATTTATATGTTGCCTTTCTTATAAATAAATAAATAAACCAATAATAAAACATTAAAACAATTTAAACCATCATGTTAAAGCAGTATATAATTATTGAAAGCACATATCAAAAATAAAGCATTCTTCCCTGTGGGCAATTACATATTATCATATTAATATTTTAAACACTGTATTTTCAGCTACCAGCTCCCCGTATCTTGCCATCTTCTTTTAAACAGCTTGTAAGAAGAAAACCCTGGGTAGCTGAAGAACTAGGGACTTCAGCACACTAGAGCATCTATCCACCTTTAATTCCAGTTTCTGTTTCCTGCAGAATTCTGGGTTTGTAGTTTAGAGAGTGGCCTTTAAAAAGCTCATCCAGAGAGGTCCTGGAACTCACTAAACTACAAACCCCAGAATTTTGCAGGAGGGAACAACTGGATTTAAAGTGGATAGATGCTCTAGTGTAGGCTTGGGCAAACTTCAGCCCTCCAGGTGTTCTGGACTCCAACTCCCACAATTCCTAACAGCTTACCAGCTGTTCGGACTTGTGGGAGTTAGAGTCCAAAACACCTGGAGCACCCATGTTTGCCCATGCTTGCTCTATTGTGATGAAGTAGCTGCTTTTGTAACAGTGACCTAAAATTAATGGTTGGCTCAAACTATAGCAGGCTCTTTGTACTATCTGTGTGTCTGTATACACACAACACTTCAAGCTGATCATTGACTGATTGCGTTATTGTAGGTTTTTTGGGCTATATGGCCATGTTCTAGAGGCATTCTCTCCTGACATTTCACCTGCATCTATGGCAAGCATCCTTGTGAGGTCCTCACAACCTCTGAGGATGCTTGCCATAGGCGAAACATCAGGAAAGATGCCTCTAGAACAGGGAACCTCAAACTTTTTAAACAGAGGGCCAGGTCACAGTCCCTAAAACTGTTGGAGGGCTGGATTATAATTTGAAAATAACATGAATTCCTATGCATGCTGCACATATCTTATTTGTAGTGCAAAAAACACTTTAAAGCAATACAATATTTAAAATGAAGAACAATTTTAACAAATGTAAACTTATTAGTATTTCAATGGGAAGTGTGGGCCTGCTTTTGGCTGAGATAGGATTGCTGTTGTTATAGCCTAAAGCAAGGGTCCTCAAACTAAGGCCCGAGGGCCGGATGCGGCCCTCCAAGGTCATTTACCCGGCCCTTGCTCAGGGTCAACCTAAGTCTGAAATAACTTGAAAGCACACAACAATCCTATCTCATCACCCAAAAGGAAGCCCACACTTCCCATTGGAATACTATTAAGTTTATATTTGTTAAAATTGTTCTTTGTTTTAATTATTGTATTGTTTTAAAGTGGTTTTTGCACTACAAATAAGATATGTGCACTGTGCATAGCAATTCATTCATATATTTTTTTCAAATTATAATCGGGCCCTCCAACAGTTTGACGGACTGTGACCTGGCCCTCTTTTTAAAACGTTTGAGGACCCCTAGCCTAAAGCATCTGATATTTGGTGGCTGTCTCCCATCCAGGAGTTATGCAGTTTCCAAGGTCAGGCAGAACTTGGCACCTTTACAACCGTTAGGCGCACACTGACTGCTGCGTGGTCAATTGGCATGAATCTATAAAAGTAAAGGTTTCCCTTGACATTAAGCCTAGTTGTGTCCAACTCTGGGGGTTGGTGCTCATCTCCATTTCTAAGTTGAAGAGCCAGTGTTGTCCATAGATACCTCAAAGGTCATGCGGCCAGCATGACTCCATGGAGTGCTGTTACCTTCCTGCCGGAGCTGTACCTATTGATCTACCCACATTTGCATGTTTTCAAACTGCTAGGTTGGCAGGAGCTGGACTTACAGCGGGAGCTCACCCTGCTCCCCGGATTCGAACGGCCAATATTTAGGTTAGCAGGTTCAGCAACTCAGCGGTTTAACCGGCTGCACCACCAGGGGCCCTGGCACCAATTTAATGACTCTGCTCTCGTTGGAACTACCAGCTTGGCCTGGGCAATGCTTCAGCGTTGGGCTATTACCAAAGAGCAGCCGCCAAACAACAGCAGCAGCCACAAGACTGTAGTCTGAGGTCTCCGTCTACACTGGCCATTTATTGCAGTTCCAAAGCGGTATGGAAGAGAGCGGTTTTGCTGTGCAGTCAGACAACTACATGAGAAATCCTGGAGCCAGTTTGAGGCCCAGAAGGTGCTGAAAGCCCTGAGGCACATTAAGGGCTTAGCATTCAAGGGAGTTTGTCGCCTGGTGGCCGAACTGTATGAAATGTTTAGTGCAGACGGGGCTTTGGGGGGAACAGCCCCCTCCCCTGCCCCGAGGCAGCATCCTCCTCCTCCTCCAACCTTCCCGCCTCCCTTCCCCTTACCGGAAGTCCCGCCCCCAAGGGCTCTCCCATAGTTCCTCGCGCACCCAAGCCCTTAAAACCGAGCGCGAGAGGCCCCTTGGCGCACTTCTTTCAGCGGAGGAGCCCGGCACGAGCGCGCCCACCCACCGCGCTCTTCCCTTCCTTTCTTTCCCGCCTCCTCCTTCTTCGTCTTCCTCCTCCTCCTCAGCCGGGCTCCTTCTTTTTCTCCTTCGCCGCCCTTCCCTCTGTATCCCCGCCTCATCCGTTTCCGGTCCCCTCGCGCAGCGCGGCCGGAAGCGTAGGCCCCAGGAGCCGGAGGGAGCCGCCATCATGGGCGACAAAATGGACATGTCTCTGGACGATATTATCAAGCTCAACCGGAGCCAGCGAGGCGGAGGCGGGCGCGCCGGGCGAGGCCGGGGACGAGGGGCCGCGGGGCGAGGCGGCGGAGGAGGCGGCGGCGGCGCGGGGCGAGGAGGCGGAGGCGCGGGGCGGGCAGGAGGCGGAGGCCCCGTCCGGAACAGAGCCGCCTTGTCCCGGGGAGGCGGCAGGAACAGGCCGGCGCCCTACAGCCGGGTACGTTTCCGCCAGGCGGCTCCTGGGGGTCTGCCTTCGGGCTCATCTGGACTCTCACTGCATTCGCAACTCGGGATAGCACTTGGGCCTGCGCCTGGGGGAGAAAACGCAGGGAAGCCTAGGCTTATACTATACGGCAGTGGTTCTCAACCTGTGGCTCCCCAGATGTTTTGGCCTTCAATTCCCAGAAATCCTAACAGCTGGTAAACTGGCTTGGATTTCTGGGAGTTGTAGGCCAAAACACCCGGGGACCCACAGGTTGAGAACCACTGCTCTAGGGGCTRTAGTCTGAAAATAAGGGGACACGAGACCTTAAGACAAGTGGTTCGCCACTTGTCGGTCCCCAGTATTTTGGCCTACAACTCCCAGAAAGTTTACCAGCTGTTAGGATTTCTGGGAGTTGAAGGCCAAAACATCTGGGAAGCCACAGGTTGAGAACCAATGCCTTAAGATATGCTGATCAGTTACTGACTTAGGGTGCCCTTTCTTTCCAGCCCAAACAACTTCCAGAAAAGTGGCAACATGATCTCTTCGAAAGTGGCTTTGGTCCTGGCGCTGGTGTGGAGACAGGTGGAAAGCTTCTGGTCTCTAATCTAGATTTTGGCGTGTCAGATGCGGACATACAGGTAGGTTTTCCCTTCATCTCTAATAATAGGTGGCCCAGTGTTGGGATTTGTTCTAACTCAGGCATGAGCAAACTTCATCCCTCCAGGTGTTTTGGACTCCAATTCCTAACAGCTGGTAGGCTGTTAGGAATTGTGGGAGTTGAAGTCCAAAACACCYGGAGGGCCGAAGTTTGCTCATGCCTGAGCTAGCTGATAAGGTTGTGTAATGGAGACCGCCTTTATTTTGGGCATCTTATTGCAAATTTCATCTGTGTGGACGTGGGTGTTTTTTTTATGATTGTGACAAATGTCTCAATGTTTGGAGAGAAGCAGAAATGTCTCTCTGTGAAATTATCAGCATTAATATTTATCTCCTTTGATAGTTTGGGATTGTTAGCAAACACATTGATATTCATAGGCTGTCTTGTTTTGTGTAGAGTACATATATGAACATTTTCTAAACAATTTCATAAGCTTAGTACTATAGTAGATATATCTGTTCTACACACTTCTTTTTGTAATCCGTGGATCTCTATTGGATTATTTTTTTCTGTGCAGGGAAGTCTGAACCTAAGGCTAACCTATACAAAGACAGAAAATTATTAATTAAAAAATCATTAAAATTTTATTTCTAGTCTGTCCTATCTCCCTGAAAGGACTCAGGGCGATTTCCAATACAAAAGCAAATATTCAATGCCATATGCAACCATAAAAACACAGCACCATAAAATAACAATGAAACATGGCTAAAATGCATGCATAAAATAAACTCTATGAGGAGGGTAAACAATCAGGCTTTTTTGCAGGGAGAAAATTTTATCCTGTTGAGCCACATTTTCCAGTACTGTTTATTCTTTGAAATAAAGCCAATGTTGTATCAGACAATAGGCAAACAAGAATATATTGTGGTTTGGTTGTAGGGTACAATGGCTTTTATTACTTCAGATGAACATATGCTCACACACTGGATTCATGAAGGCCAGACTTTTTGCCAATCTGCTCTTAAAACAGCATAAGGCAAAAGACGCTTGCATGATTTGAGATTCAAACATGGCAATGGTTTATATAGTGTTATGCAAGATCACTTAACTTGTTTAGGAGTATGTAGCTTAAGCAGGGTAAGCTGCTTCAAATGCCCAAGAAGCAGTTCTCCACCACAGTGGGCTCCACTACAGAAAGTACAGCAGGGAACTTGTTTTCCATAATTATTCTTCTGATTTTATTTGTAGTGGGGCTATGAGGAATGCAACCACTCCACTTTATTTTGTGGCTGAGGCACCTTGGTGGAGGTCTCATCAACATTGCCTCCTCAGGAGATCTTCTGCCCTACATTTCTTGCATTTTTCCTTGAGTTCTGGGGTTAATTTAAGTAGAAAACGAGGCAAAGTTAATGCAAGATCTGATTTGTAGTTGTAGTAAAATGGCAAATGTGAGAGTGAAAGAGTTTACTGCTTTAATGGGTAATCTTTTTAGAAAGACCTGAATACATTACCAAATCCTCCTGGTTGAGATAACTTCCTACTTTTACCATATCATTTTCAGGAACTTTTTGCAGAATTTGGTACATTGAAGAAGGCAGCAGTGCACTATGACCGATCTGGGCGTAGTCTAGGTACTGCAGATGTTCATTTTGAGAGGAAGGCAGATGCTCTGAAGGCTATGAAACAGTACAATGGAGTTCCCCTGGATGGTACGTGCTTAACTGTTTATCTTGATATTTACACAGTGGAATAAGAGATAAGCTAGCCTTGACTTTAAGTACTTCTCTGGTAGCTACAAATAATAAGGAAATGTGTTTGGAGTGTGTATGTATTATTCCATGTAAGAGGGTGGCAAAGGAAGAATGGAGAATCTGTTTTTTTGGCATAGAAACCAAGAAGACAGTTTAAAATGGTATGGTCCTGAGAAGCTTCCAACCCCTGGTTCTTGAAAGAAGTATTGTAGCATTATTTTACAGACTAGTAAGGTTTTTGGACTAATAACCCTTGTGATGCATATTCTTTTTATTTTTAGGACGTCCCATGAATATCCAACTGGTTACATCACAAATAGATACACAGAGGAGACCAATACAGAGGTAGGAGATTTAATCTTTATTGATGATAATAATAATAACTTTGTTCTTTTATACCGCCACCATCTCCCTGAAGGGACTTGGGGTGGCTTACACCCAGTACAAGGTGCCTAAAGACAGAGCATAAAAGGAAAACAATTTAAAAATACAATTAAATGATGCCTGCTAATTAATGTTACGTGGTAACTTCAGCTTTAGGAACTGCTAAAAAGGAATGCTATATGAATTTTGATTGCATAAGAGCACTTCCTATCCTGAATCCTTGTGGGTTTTTCAGAATGATTTTTAAAACTTTCAGCCATGTTGCCATACTTCATCTACTTTCAGAGTACTTCATAGAATATATAACTTGTATTTTCCCTTTTTCAAATTACTTACTGTGCTTCTAATTTAGTCTTTCTTTTGATTTTAGCATAAATAGAGGAGGCATGACCAGAAACCGTGGTGGATCAGGTGGCTTTGGTGGTGGCAACAGACGAGGTAGCCGTGGTGGCAGAGGGAGAGGTCGAGGTGCAGGCAGAAGTTCCAAACAGCAACTCTCTGCTGAAGAATTGGATGCACAGTTGGATGCTTACAATGCCAGGGTAAGTACCAGCAGGAGCTGAGGGAGAGGGACAAATGAGTCTGTTAGAATTAGTGGTGCAAGCTAGTGGTATTGGTCTTCTGATGAAAGGGTACAGCTTCAAAAAAAAGTACAATACATGATTATGGTAGTAATTTTGCCTGGATGCTGGGATGTATGTTGTGCTTTTCCTTGCATTTCTACTTACTGCCCTTTTTATTGAATGTATGAACTGATCTCATGTATGTAGAGAAGTTCCAGCAAGACAAAGTGTGTTTCTTGTAAAATCAATTATTAGATTTTACAAATCACTGAACTTTATAGTAGAATGCTGGTTCAATATATCAGAGTTTGCAAAAGTGACATCTTCCACAGTTTCACATCTTTCACAGTCTGCTGCTTTGTAGTCTCCTATTCAAATCATCTAGACATGATTCAAAATTAGAATCTCGCTGGCAGCATGCGTGTGTGTTAATTCCATATCCCTTGAGCTTCAAATACTGTGTGGATTTAGATTTTAGATTTCCATTAGCTGGCACAGTGAAATTGTGCAGTATTAAATAGAGATCTTTACGCAGTATGCTTGTGATTACTTGATTTATTAATAGTATGTTTTATTCATTTCTAATATATACTCATGTGTAAGTCTAAACTTTTAGTCAAGAAATCAGCCCCCAAAACCGTGGGGCCACAAATAATGTAACTCCTTTCTAAAAAGCATTCATTCTCTTCTTGGGAGTGGACTGGCAAAGATCAAGAGCTTAGTTCATATGGGAGAACTTAAAAGAAGGACCAATCCCCCCACCTCGACTGTGGCACGGCTTCTAGCCCTTTTGAATGCCTAGATGGGAAAATGGTAGTGGTGGCCAGAGTCAGGTGGCCCTGAAAGGGTGTTTTCCCTTCTTCACATATTGACCCTCAATTCACACACAGGTCATATCAAAATCCATCATTTTAGCCTCAAGACGTGCACTTGACATGTGATTGACTTATACATGACTATATACGGTACATTAAATAACTTATTTGGACATTGTGGAGTTTCTTTACCAACAGTTTACCAGATATGCTACTGCTGTGAAAAGTTGTAGCTCTTGCACTTGGAATATATTTTGGGGTTGATTCTGTATTAATAGCAACATATTTGAAATTTTATAATTTTTTTGTTAAACTGTCACTGTAAAATAGTGATCACTGATAATATAGAGGATATTTTTAATTAAATGATCATTAAACAAGTATTTAAAATGTGGACTCACGCTTTAGTTATAGTAACATTTTCGCCATAAAAAGATATCTAAAAATGGGATGCACCTTAAAATCACAGTTGCCGTTTTATGTATATAAATATGGCCTTGTTTTTTCTTGGTGGTACTGAAAGTAGTGTGTGTCTTACAACTGCTGTCTTAGAATCAAAAA